GCTGTAAACAGGACGTCTTTGGGATGACCCCCGAGACCACCTGCTGCAACCCTTTCTTTGTCGAATAAACATCCTCATCCCTAAAATTGATGATTGTGCAGGATGAGAACTCCATGTGAATGTACGGGGCGAAGCTGTCTGGCCTGGTGTCTTTCTTCTCTTCTTTGTGGTTTGCATATTTTAGTTTGATCTCCGGCTCTTGAGGTGAAAACATAGGTGAAGGTCCAGATGATCGAGGTTTTCTGCGTCTTCTCTTTGCCGTGCTAGTGGCCGATTTGCCAACAGGTGGTGCTCTCACCCGCTTAGCGGGTTTCTTGGGTTTGGCTCTCGGTTTCGGTCTCGGTTTTGCCCGGTTCCTGCTCTTCGAGGCCGGAGTTTTCCACGGACGGCTTGACATTGAAGACGAAGCCCCACTCTGTGGAGACTTGAAGATGCTTGTGTTTTCTGCATCTGAGGTAGATGGGAAGTTTTTGGGAAAAGCAGCATCCATGTCTTGATCGCTGTCTTCTGGAGATATGGGAATATAGACCGACTCCATCCATGACAGCAACGACTTGGATTCAAAGCCGGCCCTGCCATCATGGGCTTCAAAAACAGGTTCATCCAGGGCATAGAAATTGTTAAAATTTTTGGGAGAGCAGTCCATTTTAACTTCTTGCTTTACAGAGGAATTTCTTTGTATTCCACAATTTCTCTTATTAACTATAACACTCTGAGTTCGGAAGCAGAAGTTTGGAGGCGTCTTGCATCTGGAGTTGCTTACTGGCACCTCAATGATGTCACTGTCATGGTCACTAGAGATGTATTCGATGGAGCATGGAGATGTTTTTTTAGCGGCAGAACATTCGGATGCGAGCGTTTCGATGGCAGTTCGCTCAACCACTGAGTTGATGGAACGTAGTGTGTATGCAGCTGCGCTGGCGTCCTGAGATAAACCCGATGAGCCCTTAGTTTGTGACACGCCTGTGTCACTCAAGTATGTTTCACCACAACCGGTCAAAATGTCTTGTGAATGCGTCTCTAATACACTGTGCTCTATCCTACCTCCCAGTGTGCTGTTTTCTAATACAGAATCTGCTTTTTTGTGACATTTTTTTGTTTGCATCAACATATCGTCCATTTCGACACTGTAATCACTGTCATCCGTAAACACTTGGTCTGTGGGTGGGCACTGAGACAATATCTGAGCCACAGATGGCAAGCCATTGATCAGTGGAAAAGGTACAGAGTAGGGGCCGTGGGATGACGTGCCACAAGTCCTTGTCCCATGATGCTTCAATCCTGGTTCTGGGTGATCCGGAGAATTCGGTTTGCTAGGCCGAGTGATATACCGAGATTCGGACATGTTAATGCTCTTGCTCCCTGAAGTAATGCCACACCAGCTGGGCTTTTTCACCAGATCCAAAGCCTCCATGGAGTTTGTCTTCAACGGACTCTGCCTGCAACCCACGGACAGATCCAGAGCTGAGGAACGAGACTCCTGAAGGTGCATGACATCAGCCTGGATAAGAGGGTCCATAACTGAAAGAAATCAAGCAAATTTAGGTGTCAATAACCTGGCCAATGTGGACTCTGCAGACTCTGGTAACTGTACTATTCTTCTATTATTGAATCTGAGAGCTGCTTTCGATATAGTAGATCACCGCATCCTGTGAAAAAGATTAAATCTTTAGGTTGCCATTTGTGATACTGCATTAGATTGGTTTGCATCGTATCTCACGAAGAGTTTTTTTGTGGAAATTGGTGAATTTTCATCAAGCTAAGATCCCATCACTTGTGGGGTACCCCAGGGCTCTATTTTAGGTCCAATTTTAGTCTCCATGTATTTGCTCCCTCTTCCTTCTTATATTTTCCCTTTATTGTCCCCTTTGCTGGATTGTTTAGAGGACATCAAGAATTGGATGGAAAAATTATTTCCTTCAGTTAAATCAAAAAAAGACTTTAGTTATTTTGTTTGGCCCTCCACACCTTTTAAATAATTTAGCCCTACTCTTGGCCCCTTTGAAGAAAACATCCGGGAAAAATTTAAAAATCTGGGAGTTATTTTTGACACTGAACTAAAATTTGACAAATAAATCAGTTCTGCAAGCTTAAAAACATTCTTAGTTTTTATGATTTGGAGGTTGTTATCCATGCATTAATTTCAACCAGGCTGGATTACTGTAACACTCTTTATGCTGGAATTTATCAGTCTTCACTTTATCCATCAGATCGTCCCCCAAGTTTTCATCTTTTAAAACATATTTTTTTCTCAGGCTTTTGCTTAACTTTTCTCTCTTTTCTTTGTTAGGTGATATCTTGCATTATTTGTTCTTTCTTCTCTTGATTTCCTGTTTTTATAATCAGTATTTAATGATTTTAAAATGTGTGTATGTCTTAATGCTTTTTGTTGGTTGAATTTTTTTTTTTTCTGATGTTTTGGCTGTGCAGCACCTTGGTCAGCAAGGTGCTATATAAATAAACCTGACCTTGACTCTGTTGGTGAAAAAAATAAAATAAAATCAACATGTAGAAGAGTGAAAATAAATGACATAATAATAATAATAATATAGAATCATCAAATTTAGCTAATAATTTAATAACCTGACCAATTTGCTGGGTATATTACAATATGTTAGTAAAGTACAAATCAACATAGTAAGAGTAAAAAAATACAAATGAAATAATAATGATAATAATAATAATAATATCATCAGTTTATCATCATCAAATTAGTATAAGTTAATTACCTGTCCAATATTGTCTCTGCTGGGTGTATTGCAATGTGTTAATAAAGAAGAAATCAACATAGTAAAGTAATAATATTAATAATCATAATAAAATCATCACATTCAGGACTTAACAGCCTGGCTTATTACAATATGTTAATAAGGTAAAAAAAAAACACACAGTAAATAAATATATAACCTGGGCAACATAAACTAAAGAAAAAATAATAATAAATACATAAATGAATAAAATGCACTACAGCAGATACAACCATGACATACATTGAATAATAAAACAAAAATTTATACAATTGTACTGCAAAATAAATACATTATGCATCATGCTAAACACTGATTCATACCAAGTAGAGAAATCACGGTTCTGCAATTTCTTATACAACTCAAATGTGACCCCGACATGCTAGATGTGCAGGTTTTCAATACTTAACCAAGAAGAAAACTTAAAAAAGTGCTCCTTAACAAAATACAATCTCTTCTGATTGTGCTCCCAAAGTGAATCTGAAAGCAGACGCATCCTACAGACTGACACACAAACCCAAAACAGAAAAGCAAAGCAGTTCTGAATGCCCATATTAATAAATACGATGCACAATAGTATGTGTTAACGCTGCTTATATTGGTTGCATGAGTTGCACTGCGCCATGTTGTGATGGATCTATTGCTTGATATTGATATTGATGAAGCCAGAGGCTGACTCACTTCCACAGCTAACGCTAACCAGGTGTCAGTGTAACACTGGGAGACACTTACCAGAGAAATAACGCGTCCCTTTAATACCCAGACTTACTGAGCATATTATCAAAGGCACGGGTATTAAAGAAATGGATTTGGTCTAAAACACATGTGTATTAATGATATAAAAGAGTAAAACTACTGGCGAAAGCTGGACAAGGCTATTCTTCTGTTGAACTGCGTGAATCCTGCTAAACATGGCGACCGGAATACCCCACACAATAGAACTGCTTTCAAAATAAAAGCCAATTGTTCAGTAAAAATAGGCGATTTATCATTTATTGTGCATCATCATCATTTGGCGTACTCATCTCCATGAATGTATGAGAGCATGCAGTGGAAAGGAAATATACACTGCCGTCCAAAAGGTTGGAATCAGGGAGATTTTAATGTTTTGTTTTTTTATGCCCATCAAGGCTGTATCTATTTGGTCACAAATACAGAACAAAAACTACAGTTTTCTTCTATTTCAGTGTACTTTAAGATATAAATTATTCCTGTGAAGCAAAGCTGGATTTTTCGACGCTTCAGTGGGACATTATCCTTCAGAAATCCTTCTCATGAGCTGATTTATAATCAATGTTGGAAACGGTTGTGTGCTGCTCAATAGTTTTTGGAACCTGTGATACTTTCTTTCAGGATTCTTTGATCAATTAAAAAGAACTGTTTATTCAAAATAGAAATTTTGGGGTTACAATATACACCGCTATAGTCAAAAGTCTGGGTTCTGTATTTATTTAGTGTTAAATGGATAAAAAGTGATAGTAAAAGACTTACGGCGTTAGAACAGATTTTTATTTTGAATAAATGCTGTTCTTTTAACTTTCTATTCATCAAAGAATTAAAGAAAAAAAGTATCAGGTTCCAAAAAAAAAAAAAAAATGTTAAGCAGCAAAACAGCATATTAAACTGATTTCTGGAGGATCATGTGACACTGAAGACTGGAGTAATGATGCTGAAAATTCAGCGCTGCATCACAGAAATTATTTCACAATATTACTGTTTTTTTCTGTATTTTTGATAAAATAAATACAGCCTTTATGAGCATAAGAGACTCCAAACTTTTGAACAGCAGTGTTGCTAAGAATAATAAATAGCTAAATGTTAAAGTTACTAATTTTAAATAACTAAGAACGGTAATATATATATATATAAACTATTGTAAGGTGAAAAGTGACCTGAAGAATGTACATTTCCAAACAAACATAACTATAATCCTCAGTAGGCTATTATTACTGTAATACAGTAATTTATTATTTTTTGCACGATTAGATTTATTGCATTCTATAATTGCATCCTTTGTTTCCTAATGCACATATCAAATCTAATTAAGACATATCACACACATTGTTTGACCGTAAGGTTACGTTTATTGACGTAGAAAAATAACACCAATCACAAAACCTTTCCCGCTAACTAAGCCACTAATAAATAAATACAAAAATAATGTTCCGTGTGAATCAACAAGAAAAAAAAAAGCATGAATATGCACTCATAAAGTAATAAAAAAAAAAAGAGAGAAATTATCGTCGATTTATTTTCTGGTACAAAAAACAAAACCTTTAGTTAATAGCTTACCGTGTCTTTTAAATTTTGATTTGGTCCTTTACAATTTGTAACCGCAATCACAAAGCTTTGCACTACGGCTTGGCATCAAGAGAATTACTTGATTCTGATTGGTCAACCACAGCATTCCACTCCATGCTCCCTTTCCTCACACATTTAAATCATTTACACTCAAACTAATGTTACATACATTACTTATTTATTCAAGTAGAGTGGAATTAGTGGGATCATGTGCAAACCTCTTTAGGGTGACACAACACCCCTCAACTTCACTTTGGGGTTTATTTTTTAAAAAGGACTGGCTGACTATACTACATTTCCTTTACATACATAACATTTCCCTACATTTCAGATAATGCATCTGATTTGTGTGATGTAATACAGTACATATAGACAACCACCAGCCACCAAAGAAACAAACCTGATTTACAGTACAGAAAGAAATTCCCTTTCTCACTACATTACAGTCTGTAGCTTGACAAAAATATAAATCAAGTGCTGCACGTGAGCGCACACAAACAAAATAAAAAGAGCCAAAGTCACCCCTCGATGTACTTTGAGTCCATCGTGTGGCTCTCTCGTATGGAGAACGGCCTCCACGCGAGCACCTGCAGGGCTGTGACACACAACGGCACCACACACACCAGGTAAAACATGACACTGTGTAGGGACTGAAGAGCACTAGGAAAACATAGAGACAGACGAGATTTCCTTCAATGCATTGGACCTTTTCCACCACTAGAGGATGACAGACCTTTGACTGCTTACAGTGAGCGTCATGTAGCTTTATGCGAGCGTGCATGATTAAAGAAACCAGAAACACACACTTCTCAAACATCTGTTATGCTATAGCAAACAGTATTGGGATATTTGATAGGTGAAGTTACCTTGGATCTGCAGCCTTCCCAACATCTTTTATTTCTGCATAACCATATTGGTTTAGAACCGACACGACCAGCATAGGAGCTAAAGACTGTGCCGGCTTTGTGAAAAGAGCGTTGGTCCCAAAAACCATAGACGAGAGAGGAGAGCTGGAGACATTTAAAAGCAGTCATTTTTCAAAATCACTTAATTAAAAAAAATACCTTTATTACACTTTTTTTTAAAACAATGACACAAATACCTGCGTTTGTATTTCTGCAGGTCAGAGTCAATGATGTCAGCTAGAGGCAAATTGAAGAGACTGAAGGCCGCCTGAACCAAGACCCTAAATCACCATCAGAAGGCAAAACATCACACATTCAGAGACTGTCACGGTTGCACTACTGAGTATGGAGCAAGGAACGGAGGGAGACGAGGAGTACATCAATCCAGAGAAGTTTAATTACAATAAGGAAAACTCACGAAGCACAGGTAGACATGAACAATACCCGGATGCTGAATTAAAGACGGAACACTATTTAAACACATGACAAGACGAGGGGATGACGAAACACACCTGGGATCAATGGAAATAAATCAACAGGACAGGAACAGGAAACTAACCAAATATGGGCAAGGAGGGCACATGAGGAGCAAAACACACACAAAACACGGAACATAATTCATAATATATTTTTTCTGAAAATGTTTTAATTATATGTCATTTAGTAGTTACATTGTCATTTGGTAAGTCTTTTTTTCTGTCTAAGGCCATTACACTACTTATGGACATTTATTACCCACTCTCTAAAAAAATGTAAAAAAATTATATGACCCATTTACAGTAAGTAGAAAAAACAGCATTAATAAGTGAACTGATTCAAAATGCATCGTTGGTTAAAAATGATCATGGAAACATGGAAAAGTAAAAATTTTCAGTAATTAAATATTTTAGTAAAACTATATATACACTGTAAGTAAACATTACTGTTTACTACTATGCATTGTTATATTAGGGCATTGAAAATTTTAATTAATATCATTTCAGTGAAAAACATGTGGAAAGTTAAATAAATAAATATTTTATAATTCAAATATACTTTCTTACATTAAACGTTACAAATTTACTTGTTTACAGTAGCTATTTGGTGGATCCTCCTTTTTAAACCACTTAAGTAAATGTAAGTAAATATCTGCTATTAACTGAATAATGTCAAAAGGTGATTTTTTTTTTCTTTCTTTTTTTACACATCACCCAGCCCTATTCAGAAATTGAGTCCAGTTAGTATCAAAGAATGCTTTACACTCTAATTAGTCAAAAACACATAATCTGGCCTACATTTTTAAACTTCTATTCACTGGTAAACACTGACTGTAACACCTAAATGCAACTATTGTTCAAATATTTGGGGTCAGTAAACATTTTTATATATAAAATAATACTTTCTTTCAACAAAAATGCATTTTAAAAAAGTGACAGTAAAGACGTCTATAATGTCACAAAAGATTTATATTTGAAAATATATTAAAATAACGTTTTCATTTTTCAATTGTAATAATATTTCAAAATACTGCTGTTTTTTACTGTTTTAGCATTAATGGGCAAAAGGAACAGCATTGTGCTGTGTAATTACTCACATGTTGGAAGTGAGGAACAATGCAAGGAAATAGTAGTTGCCTGGACCCAGGAGTAACATGATCACAGCAGATCCGGCCTCCACGTAGAAGGTGATCAGAATGAGTCTGTAGTAGCCAAACTTATGGAGCAGATTCTGGCTGCACAAAACCAACAACTGTAGAAGAAAACATAGAAAGGTTTAAGATATTTAAGTGGTAGTTATTGTTATTTATTTGGGTTTTGATTTGGCTCTTAGTAATGATGTGAGGCATAAAATGATTTTATCCTTAAAACGGGTTTATTAAATTCCACCCAAGTATGAATGACACTATTAGTAATGCTTGCTACAACCAGTGTTGGGGAAAGTTACTTTTAAAAGTAATGCATTACAATACTGCGTTACTCCATAAAAAAGTAACTTGTAACTAATTACGTTACTTAGTTACTGTTAATAAAGAAAGTGATGTTGCTTTACTTTTGCGTTACTTTTTCTCACCTGGGCTGGGCTTGCTAACAAAAAATAAATGAATAAGGATAAAGATCTTTGCACACCGAGTCTGAAAATCTCGTCCGAAATTTTTGCACGTTAAAAAAGAAATACGACCTCACGTCGTGTCAAACACGTTTGCCTCCAAAATTTGCGTCCATCATTAAAAACTCAGATGAGGTTCGATTTTCTGTGTTTACGCATCCGTAGCAAGCATTTAGATAGGAAAGGATAACGAATACGCAGTGCCTAGACTTCTGGGGGCCCTACGCAAAACTGTGTCCGTGGGGGAGGGTATGAGTAGTTATGAACGAATTAATGAAACGCATTTGTCCGTGTTTCACTCCGTTTCGAATCGCGCTCGCGGAAAGCGCTTGAGAAACAGTGTCTCTTCCGCGGCTCGGTACACTTTCAACTCGTTTTTTTTAGTCTCGAGCAAGACTCTACGACATTCACATTACGTAATTTGACAGATTTTTACGTAGAAAGGGCGACAACGCACCACATTAAAAGAAATTATCATTCTTGTTTTCATAACCGCTGGCCAAATTAAAAAACTAAACTAAAATTAAATCATCTTTGAGAGCAAGGGGGCCCTCTGGTGTTTCGGGGGACCTACGCAGCTTGCGTATTTTGCGTATAGGGAGGATTGGCTCTGCGGATACAAAAATAACGAAAAAACGCATACAAAAAGTTTGGACTCAGTATGCAAGGACCTTAACGCTCTTATTTCAGCAATAAATAAAAAGTGACAAAAATGTGATGTTTAACTAAAGTCATTTTTGCTCATAGCAGAGTTTGCATTTTACTGTTTTTATTTATTTATAGGTATACTGAATCTGTTTTTGAGCAAGTGAGATGAGTAAATGCATGTTAAGCCTAGGACTACAGTAACATGTTCACGCAGCGCACACAACACTTCTGCACATACTGCTTTAATTTGCGTTACTTATTTGAAAAAGTAACTCAGATATTTTGTTGTAAATGTAAAAGTTAATGCATTACTTGAAAAAAAGTAATCTGATTACGTAACTCGAGTTACTTGTAATGCGTTACCACCAAAACTGACTACAACTATGATGCACCTGAGGACAGATGAATCCAGCTCCATACATGACGCTCTTGGCAAGCGATGGCAGGACATCCTGAGGAATGAGATGCTCTGCAAAAATCATAGTGAAGTTATTGCAGAACGCCACCATGAACACCTGGAAAAAGTTCATGATTACGAACAGCTGGAAGTCTCTGTTGGTAATGATCTGACAGGTCATGGACATCACGGACGACACCGAGAGTGGCGGCTTCTGAGGACTCTGGGAATCTTCTTCAGAGGCTTTACTGTCAAATCGACTCTCGCTGTTGAAGCCCGTGTACAGCATGCAAACACAGGCCAATATGGCCACAACCACGCTGAAGCCCTGGAAGGCAGCAAAGTTGTCCATGTTTCCGGAGACGAGACCACAGAACAGCACACTGGAGGAGCCCACCAGAGACGCCACCTGGCTGTATTTAATCAGCCTCAGTCTGTTCTGATGGTGACCGGAGATTTCTGCAAAGAGGGCACACTGGGCTAACAGCACGAATGTGAGCATGCCATCAAAAGCGCAGAGGGTCACCATGAGGTGGACGCCGCTCAGCCAGTCTTCCGGCTCGTACGTCCTCCACGGGAACCACGCCAGCAAGAAAGACAGACAGTACAGCGGGGCTCCGTATAAAATGGAGAGCCTCCTCCGTGAGCAACACTCCATACTCGAGTTGTCTTGCAAATATCCAAACAAGGGGTCATTCAGTGCATTCCAGATCATAAAGACAACCTGCGGAGACATAACTGTGGGATCTTTAAAGGTCCAAATAATATTTTAAATAAGCAGATTTATATAATGTGTATAATAGCACATTAGCAACTTAAAATGTCAGTAACACATTATGTTCAATGCTGACGTTGTGCTTGCTTTAATTTGATTTTAACATGTATGGCTTTGTTCTTCTACAGAACACAAAAGAGATATTTTGAAGAACAGTTTTGGCTACCAATAATAACTTTACATTGTATGGACAAAAACCAACAAACAAACAAAAAATACTATTTTGATAGTCCACTTTAGACGTTCTACTAGCTGTTTTGTCTGTATGAATAAGAGATAAATAAGAGGGAATGTTTATGGAAACCCAAGGTTTATGGGATGTTGTTGTGAATCAGTTTGATATATCATTACTTGCTGAATTTGTGCTCATCTGACGAAGTTTGAACATTGAGACATACGCAACTAAGATTGTTCAATAAGCTCCGTTACTCTTTTTACCATCATCCCTTTGTCTCCTGCTTCTGCTCTTCTCTGGCTTTTCTCGGTCAACTTCTTGATTGACAGAAGACTGTTAAACACTCGTTTTGGGTATTTTTGGATCCCAAACAAGACAGGGTTTGGGTATCGACAACTCTGCTGACTAGTTGTTCTGTTACCGGACAAACTGATATTTTCTGACGGGATCTGGCATCCGGGACTGGATCCTAATTATTATCTGGCGTGGAGACCCGATCTAACAGAGCAGTGGTTCCCAACCCTGGTTCTGGAGGCACCCGAACACTGCACGTTTTGCATGTCTCCTTTCTCTGACAGACCAATTTCAGATCTTGGAGTCTACTAATGAGCTGATGATCTGAATCAGGTGTGTTTGACTAAGGAGACATGCAAAACGTGCAGTGTTGGGGTGCCTCCATGACCAGGGTTGGGAACCACTGTAACAGAGTATTAGAGGACTATTAGGTTAGGGCTAGTAACCAGGGGTAGGCAAGTTCGGTCCTAGAGAGCCGCAGTCCTGCAGAGTTCAGCTCCAACCCTAATCAAACACACCTGAACAAGCTAACCAATGTCTTCAGGATTACTAAGGCTATAGGCAGGTGAGTTTTGTTTTCAGGGTTGGAGCTGAACTCTGCAGGACTGCGGCTCTCTAGGACCGAACTTGCCTACCCCTGGGCTAGTAGAACAAATTTACATGAACTTGTAAAGTTTCTTATAGTCATGTTTGCTAGATGACCATCAATATAAAGTGTTAAGAGATATTTTAGCAGACAGTCTACTAATACTTTAATGACTGCTACTTGCTGAAAAAAAAAAAAAATTGACACCATCACAAAATTTGTAATGGTTTTACTGGTTATAATGGGACTTGTATTGGTTTCACTGGACCCTGTTGGTCTCTACTGGTAATTGGTAGCCTTCTATAGGTGGCTTGTTAAACCAATAAATCCTAATGGAATATGTCCCAAAACACACTACAGAAAACCATTATTTAATGGTTTTAATGTTTAAAAGTTTATGGTTTGTAGCGGTATTACAAATGGAAATTCTTATGGAAACCATTAGAATTGTCTGTGATGGTTCTATTGTTTTTTTCAGCAGGGAGTTAACATGTAATTGCAAAGTTACTTATAGTTGGTAGAATGTCTAAAGTGGACTCAAAATAAACAGTTATCAAAAGACATTTCTCAGAATATCTTTGTGTGTGTGTGTGTGTGTGTTCCACAGAAGAAAACAAATCATACAGGGTTGAAACAAATGAGGGTTAGTAGCAAAATTTTCTATTTTGGGTAAACTATCCCTTTAAAAACTGAAAGTTAGTGTTGAAGAGCTGTTTTAAACCACAGAAACAAATTCAGAAATGCATCTGTTTTAGCCTGTTTGTTAGCCTGAAGAACCTGTTCCTTCTTTGGTTTCATATATAGGGGTCTTCAGATGGTCTTTTGGCCTGGCTGATTAAGGTGGCCTGCTCTGATGGTTTTAGAGAGGTTTAGGGCTTTTGTAAGGTGGCTGGAAGACCAAATGAACATTATCTTGGCCAGACTGGAAGACCAGCTAAACCAGTTTAATCTAGCTGGTTAACTGGGTTTAAGTTGGTTTGCTTTTAATATAGTAACTTGACTCTTTATTTATCCCAAATAGTACATGTTCATAATGTTCACAGAAAATATTGCTGATGGGCGACCAATTTTATATGCATAATTAAGGCATATTTTTTTTTAACATAACACAATTTTCTCAAATATTTGAAAACAGAAACAATGATTTATTGACTGGCAAGGCTGTTATAGCTTATGAAGCTGGCGATATGACAGTATGTGTTGATGTTCTCAAAACTAGCCTAGGTTATGGCACGCTGGCCACACAACAATGCTGATATTCAGACCAACACTGTGTGATATTGTTTTGCTGTGATATGGTCAAAACCTAGGTGCATTCATATGAATATATGAATGGAGGTGTTTCTCTTATCAACTATGAAACAGTTTCAGCCATTTTATAAAATCTTCAATACTGAAATAGACCATCTCTTCAGCACTATAATGTCCTCTCTTCACCGCTGAAGACATTCCAGCCAAACTTGTCAAAAATCCGCATGCGAAAATGACTGACAGACAGAGATCGTTTCTGATTGGCTAAAAAGTGCAGGCCTCTCCCACGGCTTTGTATCGCTGTTTAAAGAGTCTTGTTTGTGTCATTTTTAAAGGGGTCATATGATGCTGCTAAAAAGAACATTATTTTTTGTGTTTGGTGTAATGAAATGTGTTTATGCGGTTTAAAGTTAAAAGAACACATTTTCCACATACTGTACATTATTGTTTCTTCTCTACGCCCCACCTTTTGGAAGGCCAAACAAAGTAGTTTCGCTTTCACAACGAAAAACACAGCGGCCTAGCGTGAGCGAAAGCCCCGGCTTTAGCGTGAGCTGAAGCCGGGCAAGAGTGAGCTGAGCCGGCGGGATCGAGAATGGCGGTCCCGACGAAGGAGCGGTGAAAACGGTGAATATTCCCTCAGCGACCAGCACGGATCAGCTCTAGGCATACAGCTTTACATAGTAGAAACTAAAAATGCTGTTCATCATGCCAGCACCAAGCGTTGTCATGGAGTAAGCCAAAGCAGCTGGATTAGCAATGTGCCTCATGATGCGAAGACGGATGTTTGACTTGCTGGAAGTGAAAGTTTGTCCACAAACAGGACAAGCAACATTCAATATATGAAACTTAACACTGTAATAAAACTCATGCAATCGCGGCGAATTAGTTAAACCGCCCCCCCCCGGATCCTCTCAGACAACGTTGCCAGAAAATAAAGGCTTTGAGTAAAACACTGACTGTGTTTATAACCACAACTGAGCTCATTCGACTTAAAAACAGTGCAGCGTACCACTTCCTGGTATTCAAAAGTAGGCGTGGCGTGTACGCGAGACGATCCACTAGTGAGCCCTCATTGGACAAGACGCCACCAAAGTCCCGCCCTCGCCCTCCTATTGGCCAGCGCAGAGACGCGTTCTTGTTGTTATCCAGTCGGCTCTCTAAAGCAACATTCAATATATGAAACTTAACACTGTAATAAAACTCATGCAATCGCGGCGAATTAGTTAAACCGCCCCCCCGGATCCTCTCAGACAACGTTGCCAGAAAATAAAGGCTTTGAGTAAAACACTGACTGTGTTTATAACCACAACTGAGCTCATTCGACTTAAAAACAGTGCAGCGTACCACTTCCTGGTATTCAAAAGTAGGCGTGGCGTGTACGCGAGACGATCCACTAGTAAGCCCTCATTGGACAAGACGCCACCAAAGTCCCGCCCTCGCCCTCCTATTGGCCAGCGCAGAGACGCGTTCTTGTTGTTATCCAGTCGGCGGAGTCTGCCACGTTGCTGAAGATAGTCGCCGGTTCACACCGCTAGGGATTGCCGCTCACCGGCGTTCATCCATCAGACAAAGGGCGCTGATGTCCTAAAATAAACGGGAAGAACGGGCCTAAAGCTTTCCCCGGAGTCGAGATGCTGACGGACGTGATAGTAGAAGAGGAGTTTGATCACAATGAAGAGGAGCTGTGGTACAACAGGAAGGATTTGGAGCATGGTAAGACTCGACAATAATGTATGCATTGCGAAATGATTGCACTTTTCACTAAAACTACGTTTCGTTTGGACACTCGGTCTACAGTGGCTGAGAAGTGCGTCTGCATCAATGCGACGTGACTTCATCAGAGGTCAGGGGAAATATTTAGGGGAAGCCATAGTGTTTAAACCCTGAGTGCAGCAGTGTGCAAGCTGCCTCGCTGAAGGTCACGCCCGCATAAACCCTTTAATGCGCACTCTGACGTCTTCAGAGGGTGGTGACACATTTGAAACATACAGAAAATGTCACACACACAAAAACCAAAATATACTCCTAATTCATCCGTGTATCATTCGATCATTCGTTTTTTGATTTAATATTGAAAGTCGAAAAATGAGAAAACGGCTCCTTTTTCGTTTTTTTTTCAGAGAAACGAGAATTCAGCTTAAACTTTCGGTTTTCGTTCATGGGTGGAAAAATTAATAAACAGCTTGAATAATTGATTTCTACACGTTGTATGCATTGCGAAATGATTGCACTTTTCACTAAAACTACGTTTCGTTTGGACACTCGGTCTACAGTGGCTGAGAAGTGCGTCTGCATCAATGCGACGTGACTTCATCAGAGGTCAGGGGAAATATTTAGGGGAAGCCATAGTGTTTAAACCCTGAGTGCAGCAGTGTGCAAGCTGCCTCGCTGAAGGTCACGCCCGCATAAACCCTTTAATGCGCACTCTGACGTCTTCAGAGGGTGGTGACACATTTGAAACATACAGAAAATGTCACACACACAAAAACCAAAATATACTCCTAATTCATCCGTGTATCATTCGATCATTCGTTTTTTTTATTTAATATTGAAAGTAGAAAAATTAGAAAATGGCTCCTTTTTCATTTTTTTGTTTTTTTTCCAAAAAACAAAAAAAGAGAATTCAGCTTAAATTTTCGGTTTTCGTTCATGGGTGGAAAAATTAATAAACAGCTTGAATAATTGATTTCTACACGTGGGTGGGAATTAAACGCCCCTTTCTGCTGATTGGTCAGCCGAAGCCTTCTTCTGCAGTATCGTGCAGCAGAATAATAGTCCTCCGCTGCTGCAGTACGGATTCTTAACGCATTTATTGCAACTACATTTAATCTTTTTTTCATCAAACAAACAGTCAAATGAATAGCTCGACACAACTCGTATTGTCTAGACAGGGCTTTCTTCTGATTAGATATAAATTCTATTCTTTGCATCAGCTGGGCATCTTTCTGGCGCATGCCACAAACATCAACCACAGTGAATACTCGTCTTTTAAAAGGCTTCATTTAGATTATTTGACGTTAAATGCATCATATAAATCACTTTGGAATAAATCACAGTAGGCCTATGTATCATGATAAAAAAAAACGACTTTACAGTCTGGAAATACTTTAGGCTATAACAAATCATTTCTTGGACCCCCTATCACTTTAAGAACCGCTGGTCTACACAGAAGAAAGACCGGTCTAGACTCTGAAAGTTGTGTCGAGCTATTCATTAGTCTGTTTGTTTGATGAAAAATATGAAATTGATAAAATGGGTTATTAATCCGTACAACTGCGGCAGCGGAGGACTATTATTCTGCTGCGCGATACTGCGGAAGAACTGAAGAAGGCACGGTTTGATCTTCGGCTGACCAATCAGCAGAAAGGGGCGTTTAATCCCCGCCCACATGTAGAAATCGAATATTCAAGCTGTTTATTAATTTTTCCACCAAAGAACGAAAAATTAAAATGTAAGCTGAATTCTCGTTTTTCGTTTTTTGGGGGAAAAAAAACTAAAACACGAAAAAGGAGCCGTTTTCTCATTTTTCTACTTTCAATATTAAATTAAAAAAACGAATGATCGAATGATACACGGATTAAGCAGCAGGACTGATTTCAACATTTATAATAATAAGAAATGTTACTTGAGCACCAAATCAGGATGATGTGACGCTGAAGACTGGAGTAAATGGCAGCTGGAAATTCAGCACTGCCATCAAATGAATAAATTAGTTTTTAAAATATATTAAAATAGAAACCAATTATTTAAATTGTAATATTTCACCATTTCACATAATATTACTGTTTTAATAAGTTTAATTTAAATAAATTAATAATACACCCTTGGTGAGCATAAGACAAATAATAATTAGTATTCCCAAAAATACTACTAAAGTAGTAAGACAAAGACTAAAGAAAATCCAAATTCTTGAAAAGAATCTCCTTAAAAATCATTGTACATTCATTCTAAAAAGGTTAGGATAACATACAACTTGTCATAAAATAAAGATAAGATTTTATAAATTTACTGGATTATTGCATATGAATTGTTATAATTAAGCACTACAACATAACACTATAATGCTTGTTACAACAACTAGGGATATACACGAGTTCTCTGAAGTGTCACCAAAGTTCAAAATACCATGATATAATCAGATAATGCCAAAGTCATGTGATTATTTTTCTTTAGAAGGAAATTCTTAAGATGTTCTTTGGAGAATGAGATAACTTTTCAGGAAGTACACGTAGGAACATTCATGCAAGCATCTTGGAATTTAACCAAGAAATGTCTTAACATCTTTCTTAAGAATTTTGTGAATCCTGCCCCTGTAAACTTTTTACTGTTTTTGTGCTCAAACAATCGCTTGACCTTGACATACAATTCACCTACCTCATGTCAAGCTAATTAATACATGCTTTAACATCTATTCTAAGCACATCCACATCAAACTCTCCAAATTTAATGGACTTATCATGCCATAGTGAACATCTAATTAAGAAAGCTTTTTAATCAGGAAACTGAAATTGAAAAAAAACGCATGAATATTTAAGATCTCAGCTCAACTTAGTCAGCTGCTAGTTCATTTGTATAAATTGGCTTTAAAGCACTCAGTCAAATTTAGAACAAGGATCAAAATTGAAATGAGGCTGTTGGTCGAGTTGGCAGTTAGTCAGGCATACTAAATATACACTATGCAAACCTCTCAGCATGACCTACATACAAATACATTTACAGACCTCCAACAGCAAGCTAACATGGAACGGTTTTCAAAACAGTTCTCCAAAATACATGCAAATGCACTCAAGCATTAAATTAAATATATGTTGATACCAAAACACCTCACCTTCCCAGCATAGTAAAAGGGAAACCAAAAGAGGAAGATATCAGAAAAAAATTCAGCCACACTGAAGAGTCCATAAACCACCCAGTAGGTTAGCCATTTGGTGTCATCTTCTTTATTGTTACTCTCAATGGCTTTGATGCTGCATGAGGAACGGAATGACATGTGAAAACAGGGCAGTCAGTGTGGGTTGCTCTCATTATTGTGCTTCCTAAATGCTGTGCAAACACATATGTGGGGTTCTCCAGGTCTAGCATCTGCACCAATATGCATACTAGACATTTGTGAAATTTGACATGTCACACAAACTTACGAGGCATACGCTGGGTATGCGAAACCAATCAAGTTGCAGAGGAGGGAGGCGCCATATCCAAATAACAGATAGAGTGCCACAATAGATACTGCACCTGCAGAACAAACAAGACACATGATCACTGCCATTATTCAAATGAAGAAGGCCATTTAGGAGTACTGATGACATTGTGTTTGGTGTCAGTGTTGACACTTAACAGGATGGAAGAAGCACAAACAAAGGCTGTCTATTTGTTTAAGTGTGAACATAAGGGAAGTTTTCATAGTCTAGACACTGCAATTCTGCACAGACACTCGAGGACATACTACATGTTTAAAAATAACACTTGGGAGTGGCTATTGGTAGAAGACACCACACATTAGACATCTCAAGTAACCAGTCAATGCAGTTGAACAATTGCACGGATAACTGGCACTTCATAGGTCATTTGTTTGATGTTTTTCAAACCAGCATGTTTTTTTATCTTAAAACAACGAGCAATAACAAATAGGCTAAATAGATGTAAATGCAACAGGGAAATGACATATCCCTCGGGGGTGGGGGCTGTTCATATGGCATCTGTTCTTGTCACACATACACACGCAAAGCAGAGTAAAGTTGTATTTGTAAATGACTCCTTTTTTCATTCGAAGCTCTTTGATGAATCAGGTGAACCGATTCTCAAAACCGGTCTGAACTATTCAACAAAGCGAACTGAATCAGCTTAAGTGGTTCCAGGGTCAACAGTTTATCGACTCAATGAACCGCGAACTGTCTTTTAATAAAAAAAATGTATCTAAAATCTTTTCTAAACAACAATGTTCCAAATTCTTGATTTGTTCAGGACCAGCAGTTTAAAAAGAACCGCTTCGGAAAAGTGACTCGGTCTTATCAG